TAGAACTAGATATGCTTGATTTTGATATCATTTTGGGTATGGAATGGTTGCATGCTTACTTTTCCTCTATTGATTGTAGAACGAGGGTGGTGAAGTTTAACTTTCCAAATGAGCCTATTTTAGAGTGGAAGGGGGGAAATTCTATTTCTAGAGGTTGTATCATCTTTTGTTTGAAATCATGCAAAATGATGTCTAAAGGGTGTTTATACCATATAGTAAGATCCAAGATTTAGACTCTAAAATTCCTCCAATTGAGTCGGTCCCCGTAGTTAGTGAATTTTTGGAGGTATTTTCTAATGACCTTCCCGGTATTCCTCCCGAACAGGAAATTTATTTTGGTATCAACTTGTTACCGGATATAAATCCCATTTAAATTCCTCTTTATCGGATGGCTCCAGCCGAATTGAAAGAGTTCAAGCCTCATCTCAAGGATTTACTATACAAAGGCTTCATTAGACCTAGTATTTCTCCATGGGGTGCTTCGGTTCTATTTGTGAAGAAGAAGGATACGTCCCTTAGGATGGGCATTGATTACCGCCAAGTCAATAAAGTCACAATCAAGATTAAGTATCCTCTTCTTCGGATTGATGACTTGTTTGATCAACTCCAAGGGGCAAGCTACTTTTCTAAGATTGACTTGAGATCGGGGTATCACCAACTTAGGGTGAGAGGTGAGGAATACCAAAGACAGCATTTCAGACAAGATATGGTCACTATTAGTTCGTAGTAATGTCCTTGGTCTTACGAATACCCCGGCGGCGTTTATGGATCTCATGAATAGGTGTTTTGAAGTTACCTAGATTTATTTGTCATTGTATTCCTTGACGATGTCTTGGTATATTCAAAAAATGAGGGGGATCACATGAACCATTTAAGGGTGGTGTTGCAAGTGCTTAAGGCGAATCAATTATCTACTAAGTATAGCAAATGTGAGTTTTGGTTGAGGTCAGTGGTATTTCTTGGTCATATCATCTCTAGTGAGGGAGTTGAGTTTGATCCAAGGAAAACGGAGGCGGTGAAAAATTGTTCTAGAACATTGATTCCAACCGTCATTAGGAGTGTCTTGAATCTAGCAAGTCATTATCAAAAGTTTGTGGATGGTTTTGCGTCCATTGCATCTCCCGTGACTACTTTAACCCAAAAGAGTAAGAAATTTGAGTGGCCGGAGGCATGTGAGAGAAGCTTCCAAATGTTGAAAGATAGGCTTACTTCCGCTCTGGTGTTGACTTTGTCAGAGGGTAAAAAGGGTTTCGTTGTGTATTGTGATGCAACCCAAGTGGGTTTAGGGTGTGTGCTTATGCAACATGGGAAGGTAATAGCCTATGCTTCTAGGAAACATAAGGTGCATGAGAGAAACTATTCAACTCATGATCTTGAATTAGCGGCCGTGGTATTTGCCTTGAACATATGGAGGCATTACTTGTATGGTGTCCATGTTGATGTGTATACCGACCACAAGAGTCTCCAATATGGTTTTACCCAAAAGAAGTTAAATCTCTGACAAAGAATATGGTTAGAATTGTTGAACGATTATGACATGAGTGTTCTCTATCACCCCGGCAAGGACAATATGGTTATAGATGCTTTAAGTCATATGACTATGGGTTGTGTGTCTCATAAAGATGAAGCCAAGAAAGACCTAGTTAGAGATGTTCATAGGTTAGCTAGATTGGGTGTGAGGTTGGAAGATTCTCCGAATGGTGGTTTTATAGTCCATCATAACTCTAAGTCATCCTTGATGGTTGAGGTAAAGTCTAAACAACACCTTCAGAAACCATTGATGGAGTTGAAAGAATCGGTACTTGGTAAGATTAATGAGTCATTCTCCTTATGGGGGAATGGTGTTTTTAGGTACCAAGGGAGATTGTGTGTTCCCAATATAGATGGGTTGAGGAATCGGATCCTTGAAGAAGCCCATCAGTCCCGCTACTCACTTCATCTAGGCTCGACAAAAATGTACCATGACCTTAGGGAAGTATTTTGGTGGGAAGGTTTGAAGAAAGATATAGCAGAGTTTCTTGCTAAGTTTCCAAATTGCCAACAAGTGAAAGTCAAACATCAAAAGTCGGGTGATTTACTACAAGAAATCCAAATTCCTACTTGGAAGTGGGAAGACATCAATATAGATTTTGTAGTAGGTTTTCCTCGTACTCTAAGGCAATATGACTCTATATGGGTGGTTGTGGATAGGTTGACCAAGTCCGCTCATTTTATTTTTGTCAAGTCTACTTATTAGGCGGAAGATAATGCAAGGATCTTTATAGATGAGATTATGTGTCGACATTGTGTTCCATTATCCATCATATCGGATAGGGGCTCCCAATTTACATCTAGGTTTTGGAGGTCATTCCAAGAAGGGTTGGGTACTAAGGTAAAGTTAAGTACCGCTTTTCAACCCCTGACGGATGGTCAAGCAGAGCATACTATTCAAACTCTTGAAGATATACTTAGGGCTTGTATTATTGATTTCAAGGGAAATTGGGATAAGCATTTGACTTAAGTGGAGTTTGTTTATAATAATAGTTTACATTCATCCATCTCCATGGCTCTCTATGTAGCCTTGTATGGTAGGAGGTGTAGGTCTCCTATTGGAGGTTCGAAGTGGGTGAGCCTTCGCTTCTTGGTCCCGATTTGATATACAAGACTTTAGAAAAAGTTCATATTATAAGGAATCGCTTGCAAACGGACTATAGTTCGCAAAAGTCCTATGCCGATCATAGGAGAAGGGATTTAGAGTTTGAAGAAGGTGATAAAGTGTATTTGAAAATTTCTCCTATGAAAGGGATGGTTAGATTTGGCAAGAAATAGAAGTTGTGTCCACGTTATATGGTTCCATATGAAATCTTGCAAAGGGTTGGTAAAGTTGCCTACGAATTGAAGCTTCCTAGTGAATTGGCTTCGGTTCATTCGGTTTTTCATGTTTTCATACCTAAGAAGTGTATTGGTAATCCCGAGTCTATTCTTCCTATTGAGGGTCTTGGTGTGAAGGATAACATCTCTTATGAGGAAGTTTTGTTTCAAACTCTAGATAGGCAAGTCAAAAAGTTAAGGAATAAAGTGGTGGCTTTCGTAAAGGTGTTATGGAAGAATCACCTAGTTAAGGGTGCAACATAGGAGGACGAGGCCGACAAGAAGTCCCGTTACCCTCATCTATCTGATAACAAAGGTTAATAGTTCTTACTAATAATGAAAATAATGACAGAAATTGAAGTTATTTGAGTTTTCGTGAAGTTTTGCAAAAGGTGCATTTTTGATGTCTTTAACGTGAATTACAATGAAAAATTGTGCATTTGTACTTGAAATCTAAATTTTGCTTATTATGATTCATGTTGTGCATTTTGGTATAGTGAGTCTTTATGAAATGATATGTAGCATGATGTTAAGTTGAACTTCGACATAATTGACTCATAAATCTTATGTTGAGCTCTTGTTGTTCTGAGAAGGATATTCCTCATAATGCATTGTTGATCCGTATGTGTGGCAATTGGAGTTTTGAATTACCTTTTGTAATTTATATAGTAGATATTGTTATGTATTGTTGTTGGTTGGGCTGCTACTCTTGAATCAATTCCTTCCTTCAAAAGATTTTACCGTCATTCGGGGACAAGTATTCCTAAGGGGGGGATAATGTTACACTTCGAAATTCCAAGACGTGTTCTAGAGTATAACATAAGTGTCCAAAGGTGTAGACATTGTTCTAAAGTCTAGTAGAATGACTGTAAGTCATTTAGGAAGTCTAGAAACCAGAACGTCCAAGAATGTCCATGACGTCCGAAACTAGTTCAATGAGGTACTAGCGTGCCTTAGCCTATGTGACTAGATTTTAGGAGTCAGATATTCCTGAAATTTAGTGGAAGGGTGTGTAACATGTGTTTGATTTGATCTATGTTCTAAATGTTCGGGTACGACTTCTGAAGGACCAATCAAGGGCCCTTGAAGAGGACCCTTGCATTTAGGGGTCAAGACTGCATGGGCAGTGTTCACCTACGAAGGCAAATGATGGAGCGTGTGATGATCGAGAGGGCGTCAATGTCATCCGTCGACCATCACTTAGCCAAATAATTGGAGGGCCTCAATCATAGTCTCTGACCAAGACTACGGATATGCAGCACGGGGGAGGGGCTGGGCGTCGATGGACCAACGATCCGTTGATCGTGGTCTCATCGATGGGGCTTGTAATTTCCTTCACGTTTTTAATTAGTTCCAATTAATAAATTAAGGGATCGTTTGGTTACTGGATAAGGATAGAGTTATTCAAGTATTAAATATTGCATAAGCTTTACCATGTTTGGTAGCATATTTTTGTTAAAGTATAAAATTCAACACACACAATACTATGTTTGGTTATAAAATTAGAAAATCACATAACTAATACATGTTTAAGTTATGAGTCAATCTATGTATTATTTTATGCAGGGTAAAAGATGGAATAAGTTATACCTGAATAACTAATACCTGAATAAAAATATGTATTGACAATTTTACCCTTCACTCTCAATCAATATACACCACAGGCTTTTAGATAAACATTCCCATCCTTTATCCATCTGTAAATCTAGAGAATGGTTCTTCATCTTCCAGGCAAGTAGATTGAAAAACTTTCAATCTGACGTTCTTTCTTTGAGGTTAGAAGTTCTCAAACTCAAATTTTGGCTGATTTTTTTATTTCTTCTTCTTCTCCTCCTCCAATTTTCTCTTTTGTGTTTTTCCTCTTGTTAATCCGATGAGATGAATGAAATTGTAGATCTTCTCAGTATTTTCTAGTTAAGTTGATGTTTGAGTACACCTAAATTTGATGTGGGTTTTGTTTTATTTGTTCAAAATTTGTGATTTATTAACAAATGGGTTCATTAAGTTTAGTTGCTTTAGCTTCTAAAATTGCAAAAGATAAACATGTATTTGCAGTTTGACAAAATAGTATTAGTATTCTAGCTTTAGAAGCCAAACAAAAATAAACATTTTACCATGTTTTTCATGTTACTTTTCATTTTTTTCAATAAAATTGAACATTTTAGTATAAAACCATCTATTACCTTCCTATTATACAAAATGTGTCTGCAATACTTAATTAAGTAACATGATTGATACTCTTTTTTCTTTTGGGATTCAATTTGATCATGATGTTGTCATTTTTAATTGGAAAATAGGTATAAATGGATTCTCAGCAATTGTGTGATGTTGAATCCTTTATGATTCTCGAGGAGATTGTGGTGCATTCCTATATTGTCCTTATCTGCTTTTTTATGGCTATTTACAGCATGTTATTAAGAAAACAATCTACAAATAGGCGGGGCATTCGATATTGTATGAGTGCTAGAATTCAAAAAATCTTGTCTCATCTGAATGTTCTCATTCGTGACAATGATATTGTATGTATTGACAAGCTTAGGATGGATAGAAACGCCTTTCACATATTAGCCTCCTTAGCCAAGAATATTGGAGGTTTGACTGACAGTAAAAATATGTCGAGTACTGAAAAGTTAGCTATGTTTTTAAATATTTTGGCTCATCATGAAAAGAACAGGTCTATCAAAGTTGATTATATTAGATCGGGGTGGAGTGTAAGTCGAGCCTTTAATGAATGTCTAAGAGCTATTCTTAAACTAACTCCAGTGTTACTTGTTAAACCTAATCCGGTGCTCGAAGCTGATAGTGATGATCGATGGAAATGGTTTAAGGTAGGTAAATTTCAATCTAACATTTGATTTACTACAATAAACTTGAAATATTATGGTGAAAGTATTTTTATTTTTAATAGTCATTTAGTATTTAGATTTGAATTTATCTTATAGGGTTGTCTTGGTGCATTGGATGGTACTTACATTTCCATTAGAGTTGAAGCAATATATAAACCAAGATACAGAACACGAAAAGGAGATATAGCAACTAATGTCTTGGGGGTTTGTGATAGAAATCTCAACTTTATTTATGTATTACCTGGTTGGGAGGGATCAGCCGCTGATGGTCGTGTATTGCGAGATGCTGTTGTACGAAGAAATGGGTTGAAAGTACCTCATGGTATGCTAAATAATAGGCAGACCCTTGTTTATTTCTACTACATCAAAATAGAATAATATTTAAAGTAATTATATTATTATTTATGTTTTTAGGCAATTACTATTTGTGCGACGGAGGATATACAAATGGAAATGGTTTTCTGTCTCCCTATCGAGGATATAGATATTGGCTAAAGGATTGGCAAGGTGACAATCCATCACCTCGATGTCGAGAAGAGCTCTTTAATATGAAGCATGCTAGGGCACGTAATGTCATTGAAAGAACATTTGGACTATTAAAAGGACGTTGAGGAATTCTTAGAAGTCCTTCGTGGTACTCAGTTAAGGTTCACAATAGAATTATTAGTGCATGTTGTTTGATACACAATTTCATTCGAAGAGAGATGGAAGCTGACCCCTTAGATGTGGAAATGGTGGAGAATCAACATGAACATGAAAATATTAATACAATTGAAACATCTGATGAGTGGACCACTTGGAGGGATGAACTAGCTCAGTCTATGTGGAATGAACGATTGGGAAATCAATCTTTTTAATTTTAAACTATGTGTTAACTTTTGGTGTGCTTATGCACTTTTGCTTTTGGTTTTCCATTCACTGTAAAATGTAATACCGTCTATTATTTTGTAAAAATTAATGGTCAATCTTTTGTATGTCTCACATTGTTATTTGTACAAACAAACAGTGAATCTCAATGTATATCTATTATTTTATAATATAAGCAGTGAAATTCTCTTTATCTCTTCACACTATCTTTTTCTTAGACCAATAAAGTTGTATTACAATTAATTTGATTATGATTGTGATAATTTACTTGTAAGTTGTAACTTAGTATTACTTGTGATTTCATTTATAATTTTACAGATTGAAATGGCTAGTTTTCCTGCTGCAACATCCAACACGTCCAGAAAGAGGGCAAAAAAATCAACACCTTCATGTCGAAGGATATGGACTCCAGAAGAGGAACTTACTCTTATAGATGGATTAAAAGAATTTTGTGTTAATGGTTGGAGAGGAGATAATGGAACCTTTAGACATGGATATTTAATGGAATTGGAACACTACATGAATGCTCGTCATCCTAGTTGTGGATTGAAATCTCTACCACATGTTGATTCTAAAATAAGAGCATGGAAAAAGAGTTATGCAACCATATCGTTGCTAAAGAGTCGAAGTGGTTTAGGATTTCAATATAGTGACGGAAGTATCTTAGTTGATTATCCAAAAGCTTGGGATGACTTGATAAAGGTGATTTATATTTATTTGAAATCATTACGCAATTTCTACTTACTTGTATTTTCTCTTGGTTATGGATCTCTGTCTTTGGAATATTGACAGTTACTTTCTTTATTTTTCTAGGTTGATCCAAATGCCAAATCAATGAACTTAAAAAAATGGCCATTATTTGCTGACTGGGAAGAGATATTTGGCAAGGATAGAGCTACTGGAGAGTTTGCAGAAGGTCCAGAAGATGTTGCTGAAGAAATAGAAAGAATTGAATCTCAAGAATTTTTATATAAGTTTCTTTTTATTTTGCAGGAAATCTGTCCAAAGCTGAATGCAGAGATTTTAAGCGAAAAAATGCAGAAGAGAATGGCATGTCTGTGGGATTTCCTAATGAAGAAGAGAATGGCAACACAAAGTCCATTTACTTCTCAAGCTGAACCTAATGAATCAACTGGAGCAGCACAAAGTTCATTCACCGCTACAAAAGGTGAAACCCATCAATCTCAGAAAAAGGGCAACTGTTTTAAAGCATCATCTTCTAAAGTCAACGAAAAAGGTAGATGCAAAAAAAGAAAAACAGTTGAAGATGATAATGAGACTGTTCTTAAAGGTTTGATGGAGGTGATGAAACAATTCACTGAAAGCCATGATAAGAGAATGGCTTCTTTAATTGACAAGCTAGGAGAGCGTGATCTATCTGAAATTCGTGGTAAGATATTTTCTATTATTGGATCCCCTGCATATGAAATATACAACTCAGATGAACGAGTTAAGGCAGCAATGGGAATTACTCAAGATATAAAGAGAATGGAATTCTTCTTAAGCATCAGCGAACTTGAACGTCACAGTATGATATGGATGATTATTAATGATAAGCTTTAATTCACTGAATGGTTTTTGTGTAGCTATTTTGTAAGGTCTAACCATAATGGGATCTTTTGTTACCTAGTAGAATGTCCACAAATGTGCATATATGTGAATGTTGTGGGCTTAAAGTAGGTTGTTTTTGTATAACAAATACATGATTATGTTCAATATTAGTGCTTTTGTAAGTAGCCAACTAAAATGATCTTCAGATTGCTCAAGCAGTTGATCCAAACGGTAAGTTCATCATCTTCTACAAGATGTTTTTATTTTCTTCTTATCTGAGACTATATTGAACTTTTCTTTTCTCGCAGACTATTCAACAGTTGGGGTAATCACAAAGATCCAGTCAGAAGTACAAAGTACTCAGATGCTATTTTGTCAAGTGTTGTTGAGGATGTTGTTTATGTGTTTGTCATTGAAGGATAATGTTACAAAAATAGGGGACTTCTTTTGGGGGAAAATGTAATTGTACGTCTTTGTTGTATGGGTTAACTTTTGTAATTAAACAATGAATTATGCTAAGTTTCATTCACTTTAAATGAAGGTGTATATTTTAACTGTGAATTATGTGTGAGTGAATTCTTTCCTGATGAATGTTGTCTCCTTTGGCTTAATTTGTATAGTCACGTAGTTGAGGTGCTCTAAAATAAAGAATATCACATTATTAAAAAAGCACTACCAGGTTGAAAGTAACAGACACAATATAGTAATTGTGGCAAAGACAAGGATTTAAATCCTTTGGATTGACATTTTGTGAAAGTAACATATTAACATTTAAAAGAGAAACTAATTGAATTGTAATCCTGTTATGGAATTTGAAGTTGGACTTTGAGCAACTGATGAAATAAATATACAGATTAAGCCAAAGGACATGATCAGCAAAGGTTATATGCCTAATGAGATAACATATACCATTCTAGTCGAAGGCATCATCCATGAAGATCACAAGGAGCTTGCATCAGTAGTCCTAAGGGAACTGCACCAGAAAGAAGTAATAAGTAGAAATACTGTTGAAAGACTTGCTATGCAATATGAGCTTGAAGATATGGCAGTATGCTGATCTTTCACAAAACCAATGGCGTGTGCTCACAGGATGAGAAACTAACAAAGGTTCTTCATTAGCAAATGCTAAATACACCAAATAAACAAAGCTATTCTCATGCTATATGTCAGATGGTAACTTTACACAACTAATAAACCTTCGGGATAATTGGTTTTCAGATATGGTAGTTGATTCATAAATAGGTGAGTGGTGAAACTTGTCAATTCTCACTAGCTTACTCTTTCTACTCAATTGTTGTTACAAAAAAAGTTGTATATCTTTCTTTCTAGTGGCCTATTGCATGATAGAACAGACTGAAGTGAAGGCTCCAAATATAATATGTAACATTAGTACGCGGTGTTGCTCAATGTTAACTTATATGTATCTATTTTTGTTATGTGTACACGTAATTATATGTACTAGCATATCAATAACTTTCAACTATTACAATATTGATCCCGTATTAACACATGTCATATATTGGTTCAACTATATGAGGAAGTTGAAAAATGTGGCATTCAAGTTTCCGTCTAAAACTTTGCCTAAGCAAAATGCAAAAAACAAATCAAAATACAATGGTAAGAAAGCTCTAAGATATAACAATACAAATAAATTATTTTTTAACAAGTATATAATGTTTATTAATTTTTAATATAACAAACATCAGCCAAAAAAATTATTAAACTCTGTATAATTAAACACTGCATAATTAAATCCCGCATAACTAAATCTTACATAACTAATACCTGCATAACTAATACCTGCATAACTAATACCTGCATTACTAATACCTGCATAACTAATACCTGCAACCAAACGGCCCCTAAGGGTTTAGGTGGTTAGTTAGGGGTTAAGTTAGGTCTAGTTAAGTTAATTAACGATCTATATAAAGACCCTAACCTAAATTAGACTAACCTAAGCTCATAACTCACAAACCCTAACTTTCTTCCTTCTCTCTTATTTCTCTCTCTAGTAGAAAACAACATTGAAGACCAAGCTAGGGGGGTTTAAGGGATGAAAAGGGTCAATTTCTTCCATCAATCTTCATCATTAACAAGGTATGGGATATAATTCACCTTTGAGACCTCTTTCCTCAAAGGGCTCCTTCAAAGTATTTTCAAAAGTTAAGTTTTTATGTGGGTCTTTCCCAATCTCAAAATAATGTTATGAATTGATTTTTTTATGATTTTTTTGGATTTTATGAATATATTAACATTTATTCTAACTTAATTATGATATATATTGATGGTTTGGTCTAGTTTGTAGAAGATGACCTTTAACCTTTAACCCTGGGTTAATATTTTTATATGAATTAGGTTGTATTGGTTCAATTAACTTGGTTATTGGATCAATTACTATTAGATGATGTTGTTATAATAATCACGAATGAATTAGGATGATTAGTGGTCTTTCAAGCTAGTTCTTGAGAATATGATCTAGGTTAGGAAGTATGTTGTGAATTGACCGAAGTATCCTGTCTTAAGTTATGATCTAGTATTGAATTATAATGTAATTATTCTTTTAGACTTTTTATCATGTTAGTTATTGACTTATGATGATGTATACCCAAATTGGTTTGAATTGAGGGCTTATGGTAAGACCTTGATGATGGACTATGAAGGAGACTTGGTAAGTCTTATGATCCCTATCCTTTACTTCAAATTGTGGTTAATTGTGATTAATTCATGATTTTGTATTAGAGTATGCGTTGTATTAGGATTGATAGGGTGGTATGATGTTGAATTTAAATGTCTTGACTATGATTTTTAGGTGTTTTCTTAAGATGTAAATGTCATAAGGATGGTGAATCATTTAACAATGTGTCTTATCATGATATTAAGTTGTTAATGTGCTAACCTCATATATATGAATTGTAATGAAAGGACAATACTCATGAAATTCTTATTGATCTATGATGATGATGTGTATACAAGGGTTAGACCCTATGACCTACAATCAGCTATGATGATTAATAAATACATTAAAGACATTTCAAAAAGGGACTCTAGCTTAGCATCCGGTGATCTTGTATGCGAGGGGGTGACACTTCCCCAAATAAGGAAGGTAGGGTTCAGTACGGTCTTCATGGAGTGGATAGCCTCATAACCCAAATAAGGTGTAGAGTGATGTTTCCAAGACGGCCCCAAGTTCCTTAAACTATGTTGCCACCATAGGAATACTAGCCAATGGATATACCTACAAAGCTACGTTTATGTTTAGTTTTACCTTGGTCGGTAGACCACCTTCCTTCGATGTAAGGTTTTACAACACTAGATTCCACATTAGCTCATGTGGTCTACGTCGGTTAGGGCAAGATGTTCCCAAAAGGTAAAATGAACTAAAGGATGAAAGCTAACTATGATAACCTAAGGGGTCTAGCTTAGTCTAGGTAGGGATGTGGGACTCTACCTAAGCATTGCACTAGTTAGCCTTGAGGGGAGTCTTAGTAAGATTTTCTTATGTATGAATATGCTTATGAGGATATATGATATGTATATGATGAACTTGCACATTGTTGATACTATATGATGATTAGTTTCACTTATGTATATATATTGGTCTATATGGTTAAAGTAAGATGATATGTACTCTTAAATGCAATCTTATGT